TATTTTTAAAAAGTTTTTGAACTGGCAGCTGTAGCCTGTCAGAATACCTGGAATTAGTGTGGCAGTTCTCAAAGCTTTTACAGATTTGGGGGGACCCTTTAAGAAACCTTATGAATAATACTCAACAGAGTTAGCACTTCTGCAACTGGAAGTTTCAGCGTATTAAAAGGAAAACAAAGTGTTTGCAAGGTTTATTTAAGGTTTCCCTAGGATCCACTTTATTCTAATACTTAAATACTAGAATGCGATGTAGCATTTTAATTTCTAGTGGTATACTGTAGTATTTATTTTATTAAAAACTATGCTACTTGCTAATAGGATCTGTAATGTCATGTTATATATCCAAGACATAACAAAAAGTATTTGTTCTTTGTAAGCAAGGGACTCTCAGTCGACCCTCTGGGGTTCTTTTTCCTTCTCATGACCCTGTGGGAATCGCTCACAGAAATTCCTGTTGGAGGCTTTTCTGTTACTAGCCAGCTGGGTTCTGCATAGCTGAGGGCCGAGTGTCGCTGCTCAGGCCCCAGGAGAGCTTCCAGAGAAAAATAAGGAAAGACAGTCACTCTCTGCAGCTTAGTGGTAGTTCTCAGGCCAGTGGCATCTCCCTCCCCTGGGAGGTTGCTAGAAATGCAGGCTCTCAGGTCCACTCCAGAGCCCCGAATCAGAATCTCCTCTACATCAGAGGCTTGTAAACTTAATGAGAACTTGTTGAGGCTGATCCTGGGGGCCCCTGCCCCAGAGTTTCCCACTTAGGGATGGTGGGGTGATGCCAATACTGATTGTGATGCTGGCTGCTGGCGTGGGGACCACGCTTGGAAAACAACCCTTGCGCTGGGAATGACTTGTTCTCATCTTTGGTTGTGCATTGGGACTACCTTGTGAACTTCCCAAAAGCCTGATGTTTGAGTCCCACCTCTGGAGATTCTGAAATAAACAGCTGGTGGATACTGCCTGGGTACTGAGTTGTTTTCCAACAGCTCCCCTGGCAATTATAATACACGGGTTAGGTCTTGAGAAGCTCAGTCTGTATATCTGATGCTCAGAACTTCTACTATGAGAGAAGCAAAGCTGGACCCAGGCAGCGCCCCCATGACTCTGGATGATGCTGGATTGTGTCTCTGGGGTCCAGAGTGAGCACGCCAGCTCTGTAGAGCTTCTCCACTAGCTTCCCTACGTGGAGGCCCTCATGCCACAGCCTTGGGATCAGCTATACTAACCATTCCTTCATTCATTCTGTTGTCAGCAAGAAGGTTCTTGTCTTGTCGCAGAAAGAATTCGGAAACAAGACACGGAGGTCAAGAAAGTGAAGCAAGGATTTATTAAGGAATAGGTAGTACCCTGTCAAGGGAAGGCAGGCAGACCCAGGTGGTTTGCTGCCCTGAGCTTCTTTGGCAAGCTAGTTATATGGATGTAAAAATGAATGGGCAGAATATTCATTGGCAGGGAGGGGTTTGGGGTCCTCTTCCCTGATCTTCATCCGAGCTCCACCTTCCCAGCTAGGGAAGAGGGATTCCTTGTCCTTGTTTAGTCTTTTTAAAAATATATTTTTGTTTTTCTTTATGTGTTGTTGCTTTGGAGGGAGGTAATTAGGTTTATGTATTTTTTTTTTTTGATAGAAGTACTGGGGATTGAACTCAAGACCTCATGCATGCTAAGCACGCACTCTTCCACTGAGTTATACCCTCCCTCTTTTTTTTTAGACTTTTAAAAATACTAAAAAAAATTCTTTTTGTTTCTTTCCGGGGATGGTCATTAGATCTATTTATTACTAGTTTTTGTTTTGTTTTGTTTTGTTTTTTAATAGAGGTACTGGAGATTGAATCCAGGACCTTGTGTATGCTAAGCATGTGCTCTACCTCTTGAGCTATACCCTTCCCCCTCATTTAGTCTTGACCAGGGAGTTAGTTGAGGTCATGATGAACAAAAGGTTACATTCAGGTGAGGGGCATCATAAGTGAAAGTTACATTCAGATGAGGTCATAATGATCAAAAGGTTACATTCAGATGGTGGGGATTCCTGTCTTGTCCCACCTGTTTTGCCTCCAGGACACTTGTCAACCCAGAGTGTTTGGTTTCTTATCAGTCCCCAGGATCCTGTTCTTCTTGGTCTGTCCAAGGACCCCTGTTGTCCCCAAGATGTATGGTTTTCTGCTCTTTGGCCCATGTCCCTCTTTCTCTGCTCATGTCTAGCTACCTGCCTGCTCTAACAATCCCACAAACGATGGTGGTAGCTCTGCTGTGAACACTCCTTCCTCTAGGTGCTGGAGACATATCACTGAATAGAATCGTGGAGCTTACATTTTACTTTCACTCCTACTATTGAACTCAAAATAATTGCTTTGTAATGCTAAAGAAAAACCAGAACTGGACAGCAGTTAAAGCAACGAATACAGATTTTATTTAGAAAAAAAAAAAAGAACTATTGCAATAGAGGAGGAGAAGTGTCGGTATAGAATGGTATAGAATACAGTGAGGAAAAGTGGGAATATACGGCCGAGGAATAGGTTGGGGGTCGGTGGTTGAAAGATTACTAAGAGGAAACATCATGGAAAGAGGATTCTAATGGGATTCTTGCTGAAGACAGGCTGCAGTGATGAGATGTCACCTGGGGGCTGGTGAAGGGTGAGGAACTAGAACAGACATGGAGGGCAGTCAGACATTGAGAGTTAAACAGACTTAGCAGGATTCTTGCTAAAACTGGACAACGCACGGCCTTGTTGAGAAGAGAGTTCAGAGGAGCCCGACTAGAGCTTGGTGAAAGAGAATCTTTGTCAGTGGATTGATAAAAATACATTTATATGTATGTGTATATATATATATATATATATATATATATATATATATATATATACATATATATATATATATATATATATATATATACACATACATGTATACAAATATATGAAATATATACATCATACATAAACACACACCTCACACACAACGTCCTTCCACAATGTATCTCCCTCTCCATCCAGACTGCTCTTCACAGAGGATTTTGATGTTGTTCAATTAACTCCCTCAGATGGTCACACGAACCTAACATTCCAGATAAATTTTGGAATGCTGCGTGCGCGTTGCTGAAAGTGCCCAGTCTGTCATTTGCCAATTGCCATTCCAGAACGGGTGGAGAGGCATAATTGAAACTTTTAATAGAGAACGTCTGTTTCGGTCTCTCTCTCTCCCCCTTCCCTCCGGCTCACCCATTTCCTCCACCCTACCCAGTTCCCACCCCTCATTTCAAAACCTGTCTTCCCCAGCTTCTCCCTTTTTCTGCGTACAATCCTACCCCCTTTTCACACCAGCCTGTTCTCAAAAACTTTTCTGCTCCTCCGGGAAAGCCTGGAAGATCCCAGACCTCCTGCACAGAAGTGGTTGACAATGCAGTGTTTTCATTCGAATGCAGATTTGTCTCTGGATCAGATTCAAGGGGAGTGCTTTCCCCTCCAACTGTCTCTCTGGCTCCACCCCAGCCCTTGTTGTCTTTTGTGTTCTTGTAAATAAATGAGAGGCAACTGGCTTTCAGTTTGAAGACACAGCTGCAGGGGGCTCTTAAAAGCGAGCTAGAGAGAGAGAGAGGCTGAAAGACTTGGAGGCCAGCGGTGAATCTAGAAAAGGGAAGCCTTTCATTTACAGTTGCTCTGCCTCCTCTGGAAATGCTTTTTCTAAATACTGAAAGACCCAGCGTATTTCTTCCGACTTGATATTTTTTCCCTCCTTTTAACTTTTCTCATCCACAAAGAAGAATCAACGGGGCAATAGCTACAGAATAAACTCCACGAAGTATGTTTATTTCTTATGTTCTCCAGATAAGTATGCATCTTAGCCAATGTCAGAGGCAGAAACTGTATCCAATGAAATGCCCGTGCGGGTGGGGGCCGGGGCGGGGGGAGAAAAGACTGAGTGTCTGAATTTCTCATGAAAGCTACCAGATCGTGATTGCGATCACGATGGCCCTGCAGGGGGGCGGGGAGGGGGCTTTTAAACTCTTTCGGGGACTCGGCTCTTCCAGATTTGCTCTTACCCCCCCTCTGAGGTGTGTGAGCAGAACCCGTGTCCCGTTCGCCGGACGGGATCCCCTCCCCGGGTCAGCCTGGGCGACCCGGGTTTTCCTGGGGTGG